AAACACTTTTGCTAGGTGTGATTCTTTACAACTTACGTAAGCCCTTACGGGTCTAATTCTAATAGATCAAATCAACTTCGTACGTAGCGCTAATAATTTTCCATGCTATCACAAAGCAGCGTGGTCAAGACAAGACGGGAATACCACTCTTTCGTCTTTTACCACAGCATAATTGTGAAGTTCATTTTCTTTGAAAGTTATATTTTTCCGACGTTTTTCTATGTGAATTCCAGTTTAATAAGAGAAGTAGACCCGTTAAACGATTTTATATAGTGGACACTAAGTCTCACTCTCTGAGTATTTGATTGGCTGCATAATTATTTAGAAGAATCAAGAATGCCATGCATGTCTAATGTGATGAATCTACCGCCCGGCCAATGATGATTGATCAGTTTTCTTGTGTACGTACCTACTTTTTTATTATATATAATAAAGAGGGGATGATGGCAGAGTTTTTTTTTTTTGGGCATGAAAGATAATAATTATAGATTGAAGCAATATTGAGCATCAGCTACAAGCCCCTAGCATCCTGTTCTAATAAATTACAAATGGCCATGGCATTGGTTGTCATGCCCTGTATACTGTGTAGGCATCTTCATCGATTTATTAGAAATTTAGAGCAAAGGTTTTAGAGTCGAGTTCTCCCATTTATACAAAAAAAAAAAAAATTTTACCAGAACAAAGGGTCTATTTACTACTACGAGTTATGCTAATAGTTACAAGAAAATGAAATTTGGCTGCGCGAATAGTTGAGATCGAATCGACTTTACCATCTGATCGTATATAAATTTCAATTTTTATTTATACATATATACATTCCATTTTTTTATGTACACTAATTCAATTTTATGATGTCCAATTATTTGTTTCATGAGGATTTTAGTCCACAAATGATTGACTGTTGTCATAATTTCCTACACTCGGTCGCAAGCTACAACAAAGAGGGTGTGTGGTTGCAGCCTAACTTTGCCATCGTCTTTAAACAGTCTCCTTGGCTTCCCATGTATCGTCTCTTCTGGAATAGGGGCCAAACCTGTTCTTCCCTTCCATTAATAATTTCCTTCCTCACTTAATATCAACGAAGTATTTTTTTTTTAGCTAAATAAATTTATGAAATATTATATGCTGAATACTTGAAATAGCGCAGATAATTAACCCTTGGCGTCGTCGTTACCATCATACTCGCAAGGACTGAGTCATCAAGATGTGAACTTTGTAATCATCAATAAGGTGTAATTTAGGGCTGCAAACGAGTCGAGCCGAGTCGAGTTTTGAGCTAATCGAGTCGAGTCTCGACTAAATTTTACCAAGCTCGAGCTCGACGAGCCGGCAAATTTCGAGTTCGAGCTCGACTCAAATCAAGTCGAGCCGAGCTCGAGCTCGAGGTCGAAAAAAAATAAATAATAAATATTTTATTTAAAAAAAAATAAAAAAATAATATTTTTTTCTTAATAAATATAAAATATTAAGGACATATACGTAATTTTACTATGAAAATAAAAAATAAAAAAAAATATATATAATATACATAATTTTATTATTAAATAAAAATAAAAATAAAAAATATATATATATACCCAAGCTCGCGAGTCGGCTCGCGAGCTAACGTGCTTAATATTCTGAGCTCGAGCTCGAGCTCGACTCGAGCTTGACTCGCTCGATTCGTTTGCAGCCCTAGTGTAATTAGATACCAACGCATGCATTTAATTACCAGCAAATGGATAGGTCTTTGTCCAAGGAAAAACATGATGTATCCTCGGACCTTGTTTTGAGTTGCCAAGTTGTCGTTTGGCTAATTTCCACTGCTACATCAACGAACACACTGAGAATATTATTATTATTCTATGTGACAGAGCAGCGTGGTGGAGACACATTAATTCATCTTTTATTAAAGAATAATATTCAACGTAAAGTGTTTGATTTTTCTTTTCACCATGTGAATTGAAGTTTAGTAAAAAAAAAAAAAAAAAAAGTAGATTTTTATAGCGAAGACCACCATTCATGTTTCTACTTTCTGGTCTCTCTTTTGAGTCATTCATGCACGTCAAAGTCAATGGTTGGCCAAGTTTTCTCGTTTGAGTATTTACTTTATGGCAATGGCAATGGTTGTTAGAATGCGTATCTCCTCCTCGTATCCTCTGATCATCTTAGATCATATATTGAGAATAATTCTATGATATTCCTCGTATCGTTGTTATATATATATTTTTTTGGTCTTTAATGTTATCATCAAATTTATAGTTTTGTTAGATATGTTGTATCGTTTGATTTTCAGATCTATATGATTTGATGTATTTAGTCCCTGTTTGATAACTCAATTAAATACTTAAATTTAATATATTCAGATTTTAACATATTCAATCCGTTTGATAACAAAAAACGCTGAATTTTCTAGACAAAACTTGTTCATAAAATTAAGTGATAAACTATTCATTTATCACTGAATGTGATATGTACTCAAACGTATTCGATTTAACACTTAACAATTCAATAAATTAATGAATTCAAACTTCAAACTTCAGTTTTATCAAACGCACTCTCAGTGCCATTAGTGTAGACATTAGAATGAAAATTCTCATTCTTTATTGACAAAAAAAAAAAAAAACACTTTAACCTAACAAAGGATCTCCTTGCCTTCCTTCCGTATAACAAATCGTTATGCTTGCGTGGTTGATTTATGGATTGGTTACGCTCAAATTTGTGGTTCAACTATCAAACTTTCCAATCAAGGAGATGCTGTCAACCATCAAATTTATGAGATCCTATCTACTTTTTCACCACTCTTATGGGTCCGAAACGATTAATTCTTTGTGCTGCAAAATGTTAATCAAGTCTAATTCCGGGGAGAGAGAGAGAGAGAGGGGGGGGGGGCCTGAATAGGACTATTCGATAATTCGAAGACCAAGACTTTAGGGATTTATTGCAGCCAAAACAACGATTAGGACTAGTGATTGCGATTTGAGATTGTAGTCTTATAGAATCATCTGTCCTGGCCCTGAGTAGTGAGTAGTGAGTAGGAGTACCCCAAGGGACAAGCCAAGAACGGAGACTTCCTTCCCTCATTTGACTTGGAAGAATTGCTGTCCTTTTGGAAAATGAATGCGCACATGTTATTTAATTTGTGTACTCTTCAAATTCAAATGAAATTCAATGGAAATTGTCATCAAATTTATTTTCCCCTTTTTTTTTTTTTTTTACTTGAAGGGGAGTGTCCGGAATTGAAAAAATGCGCCGCCGACTCTAATGGGAAAGCGTCGACTGATTAATTAGCCATAGTCATAGGTATGACTGATTAATTAGCCATAGTCGAGACTGAGATTACTAAAATTGTTACCCTACTTTTTATTTTATTTTATTTTAAACTAGTCTAAGATTCTTGATAGAAGTAGGAATATTGACTTAAGCTCCCGTCAGAAACTAATAATCCCTTGGGATAATTTCAGAAACCTCCAAACTAATAATCCCTTGGGATAATTTCAGAAACCTCAAGGGAGGTTTCTGACAATTTCACTCAGCTCCCCTCAAATTTAAAAAATTACACGTACCTCCATTGGTACAGTAAAATATCTATAATGCCCTTCACTTTGTAGAAAATTTTAAATTTAAGGCGATAAATTTACAAAATCCAAAAAAAATCTATTTTTCTGCTTCTTGTCTATTTTCACTCTTCTCTTTTTTTGGTTAATATAACATCTTTTTATTATCTTCAATTTTGTGGATATTAGCAAGTTGCAATTATAAAATCAACCGAGGGAGTAGATTATGCGTCAAATTAGAAGGAAATGAAGATACTCGCAGTGATAAAGAAACAAATAATGAAATTGATGATTGAAATAGGAAGAAGAACTAAAGATGTTGAATTTATCATATTTTCTTTGTTGTCAATATTTTTTTTTTATAAAATGTCAATAATTACATAAATATTTCTTTCATTGGATTAGAAATTTTTTATTATGATTTTATTGTGGAGGTAGAATTTATTCTCTATTTTTGAGATATTAGTATTTTTAAGGCCATAGGAGGCTTATAATAGCGGTTCTAAATCAAATTAACTTATATTGAAAAGGTATTTGAGCATTGATATTTAATTTTGGGGTATAAAATTGGTTGTCAATGGGGTTGTGGACGTGTGTGTGTGTGTGACTATTTTTTTTTTTTTTTTTACGTAGCAAGTATTGATACTGTACATGTAATTTGGGATCCTTTGGACGGCTATTTGGTTTTAAAACTTATGTTTGGATAGTTGCTAGAAATTAGATTTATTGATTTGTGCAAAGCGTTGAAGAAAATAATTGAGTATACTATATTTTTCTTAGTTTAAAGGGCAATTTAGGAATTTTGTGAGAAAATCTATATTGTTGGACCTATATTATTACTAAAAAATAACAATAGGGGAGGTATATGTAATTTTTAAAACTTGAGAGAAGCTCTCTGTAATTGTTAAAAACTTCAAGGGGGTTTGTGAAATTATCCCTAATCCCTTAGAAACAAAGAAGAAAATCAATAATCATGACGGGTGGCCTCAACTTTTTCATATGTGATGCCACTGATCATGTAAGCATATGCGGTCTAAGTGACGAAATACAAAGCTTAAGAAATCGTGTTCTGTGGTTCGTTGATTCTAGGAAAAGAATCAGTAAAAAATTAAAAAAAGCTTTCACCTGTTTCTTTTCCTAGAATCAATGAACCTTGGAATACAAATCTTTTATTCTTTTGTATTCCGTCACACTTAAAGATCTTATATGCTTACATGATCACTGACATCGCATATAAAATAGATGAAGGGGGAAGGAAGGGAAGAGGGAGGAGGAAGGATGGGGAGGAGAGAGGAGGACGTGGTGATCGGTGGTGGTGGGTGGTGTTATTTTCAATTTTTAGAAAATATAAAAAATTTAAAAATACTTTAAAATACACATTTAAAAATACTCTTAAAAACACCATAAACTCATCTATGATAAAAGTTTTTCGCATTTACCGTTACAGTAAAATTTTTTAAAAACACCCCAAAAAACTCTTAATTAATACTGAACCTACGTTATACAATGGCTCCCCTTGTAGGGCCCTCCTTAATTTCTCCCTTCCATGCATGATTTCTACCAAACAACGAATCTTTCTTGAAAATTATTTTCTTTTATTTTACCTCAAAGTAGGACAAAACAATAACATTCTTTTTATTTATTATTTTTTGGTTACAGACGTACATACATATATCTAATCTCTCTCATGCAAATTGAGAAAACCATATATATATATATATATATATATATATATATATCCATCTATTGCTTATAACATTCTAGTACAAGTAATTGCATATTCAAGTCTATCAAAATCTTCATCTATTGGCACTCACATGATGCTGCAATTGCACCCGGGGTTATCTGCAAGCTCAACAACTTGGAAACTAGGAACACCACCATAAACATGATGAGTTGTGGTCTCAACTTTTTCACTTTCTTTCTTTTCACTATATGATGAATCAACACTCACAATATTAGCAATTCCCAAATGCCTTCGGAGCAACGTAGCCAACTTCACAGGATCAAAATCATCATCTCCTGAAACCACAAGCTGGTTCTTCTCCTCCCCATCTAAAGCTATCGATGCAACTCCTACACAAAAAACACGCTTTCAAAGAGCATGCCTAACGATTTTACGCCACAAGTTTTACTTTTACGTTGTTACATGGACCCAAAAATGTGTATTTAGAAACGAGACGGATGAGAAAAATAGGCCATAAATTTCTGTAATTAAATTACCTCGGGTTCGTGCTACGATTTGCATGGCCTTGATTTTGTTTTTGGCTGCTGAGGGCTGCAGCTGGTTCCAGAGCAACTCGCAGGGCATCATAGCTTTCATTACCTGGATTAACATGTCCACGGCTTTGGGGCGAGACTTCTCTCCATGCAAGGACACTTTAATTACCACTTTCTGCCACAAAAGAATGATTAGTGTTGTAATAGTAATAAGGAAAATACACAGGAAGTTGGGAAGAATAATATTTCTTGAATATCATAAATTTGACACCTTCATCCTGTACTTTTGGGGTGGCGCAAATAAGGTACGTAACAGAATGTGCAGGTTGCAGGTGATCCTCCTTTGTTATACTTTTGGGATCTGACAAGTTTAGATGCTACAAAGCATTAATCCTATAGCTATACTACTCTATATATAGCATGGATGGTTGTTGGAACCTGGAACCAGGGTGTAATTTCATATCTGACAATAAAGTGTTTGGAAGCAGGAATTTTGATGTCTGACTATTCAATTGAATTGTGCCAATTTTTTATTTTTATTTTTATTTTTCACTTGGCTGGCTACTAAGGTATTAATTGTCAGTCATCAGTCAAGTTGGACAATGAGAGGCACAACTCATTCAATGATACTGAATTAATTTATTTATATGGTTAGCCTCAGCCCAAATGTTTAAAATGAATACTTAAAATTTTGAAATAATCGTATGGTTTCTAATAGAAAAAACGATGATAGTATTTATCACCATTTTTCATCCCCAAGGCAACACCTCCAAAACGGCGGATGATGTGTATTTATTTCCTTGCGCATCTTAGAGAGCTCCTATTACTTTATATTTTTGTTCCATTTTCTTATTTTCTCCTGAAATAAATAAATGTAAATTGACAAAAAAACAAGGAAAATGTGGATTGCTGATCACTACTGTTGGAAGTCCAAGAGTGATGAAGCAGGAAAGAAAGTGGTCGATATGATTGATTGGGTTTGTGGACGGAGACAGCAATATATATATATATATATATAATCACAGAGGGGGAAGGGAACAAAAATAAAAAGCTACATTGAAAATGAAATTAAAAAATAAAAAGGAGGAAAATAAGAATATAATGTTTAGTTTCCTAGAATACATCTTGAGGTGGTATTCCAAGCGTTAGACCGACAATGACATCGACTCATTAACCACTGAGGTGATATGAATTCTTGACTGTTTGAGTTTGTTTTCTTGGTACAAAGGAAGAACAAGAAGAATCAAAATATATTCCTCGTCAAGTCAAGGCTGTGCGGAAATTGTGGTCGAGTGCTTGAGAGGCTATGATGGTAAATTAAATTATCCATCTATACTTTTGTTACTGAGTGTTCACAATTTTTATTTTTTATTTTTATTTTTTTGGGTTTTGTTTTTGTAATATGGGTAACAATAATGTGTACGTGTTGAAGGAATTGAGGCGGATTCAGACAATCAGGAAACTACTGTTAAAAAAAGGAGAGAACGCTGATCCCCACAAAAGTGGCAAAAGGGCTCGGGAGAAAAGGTGGCAAAAATGTGTTAAGTCGATCTTCTCCACTCTCGGGCAAAGGACAAGAAAGAAGAAAAAGAAAGAAGAGGAAGAAGAGGTTTATATTATTATATTGCTCCTACCACAAACAAATTTTACTTATTCCCCCCATTTTGTATTCATCAGTTACACTTAGAGTGTTATCCTTTGTTCAGTCGCAAATATCACAAGACCACACTCCTGTCAAATTTTGGAAGCCTAATGAGGACCACGACCACACTTGAGAAATTTCTAAAAATATGATGAAATTTTAAAAAAATCTACAAAGGGGGCGTTTTGTGTATGGTTTTCTATCTTGGGGGTCTTCACATTTACCAAATGCGAAGTTCACATGAATTTTGAGACCAGAGAAATTAAAAAAAAAAAAAAGAAGCGAACCTCGCATTTTACAAATGCGAGGTCATGTATACCTCGCATTTACCAAATGCGAGGTCATGTATACCTCGCATTTGCAAAATGCGAGGTTAGTAACCACCAATAGAAGGTCATTTCCTTCATTCTTTTTGACGTTTGATTAACACGTATTTGGACTTCTTAACTTTAGTAAATATTTAAAAGTCACTACCACTAAATATGTCACAGTTATGATTTCTTGGCTGTAAAGTTGTGTGAATTTCATTTCACTCGACAACAGTGAGACTAACAATAATCATTTTTTGCATTTAAATAGCGATTGGTGGAATCAAAAAATTTATGAGTTTTGTAGCTTATTTGGAATTAGTCGGAAAAGGGAGAAAATGTTTGGAAAATTGCAATTGGTGTAATTAGTGCAGAATTGTGATGATCCGAGCTCGTATCCTATAAAACCCAGAAGGATCCGACCGCGGATCGTTTGAAGCTGGAAAAATTAAAACAGGAGATCCGAGCACGGATCATTAAAGTTCCAGTTTGATCCGAGACCTCGGATAAACTTCAGCACTTGTGGATCCGAGACATGTAGGATCCGAGGACTACAAGAACAGATACGACCTCGGATCTGTTCGCGAATAAAGCAGAAACGAGGGTTCGTTTGTGCACTTTTCAAATATTTCTTCCCTCTTCTCACCGAAACCCTACCCCCTTTTCTCCAATCTTCTATTTAATGTATCAAATCTCCAATCCTTCACCATAAACACCTCCCTAACCCTTGTATGATCATAAACCGTAAGCTATTTCACCACAAAACATCATCAAAAGTGGATTTTGATATTCAAAAGGCAATTTTGGGCCGCACGGAATTCTTCTAATTTGTGGGTAAAATTGGACTTGTTTCTCCCTCATTTTTCATCATTATCATCCTCCAGCATCCTCCTTTACATTTGAGGTAACAATTTGCAATTTCTTTTGAGATTTTATAATTCCTATTTTTGCATAATTTTTTAAGTTTTTGAGTAATTGTGATAAAAGCTTATTTGTTGAAATTTCTTGATACAATTGTATTACATTGTGATAATATATACATTTAGTTATGGTTGTTTGCTTAGATTTGAGAAATTTGTTAATATGGTGAGAAATTGTATAATTTTTCTCATGAAAGCACACTAGACTTTTGTTTGCAATTTCTTGTTTTCGTGTACAATTTGCATTTGTTTGCTTGAAATAAGTGCATCTTTATTCACAATTGATGATAAATTGTGGTAAGTATAGTGGGTAGTTATGTATTGGTTTGAAGGAAAGTGCCAAAAGTTGAGAATTGTTTGAATTGAAGATGTTTTTCGTAAGGCATATGGAGACGCTGCGATGAATTGATGTTTGAAGCTTAATGTTATAGCATAGTGTCATTGATAGTCTACTTTACTTTCAAATTTTATTCCAATCTTACAAATGGTTTTAATTGTCAAAGTATTGGAAGTATTTAGCGTATCATGACAACCTTGTTGGTAATATTGATTCTCAATGTGAGAATTGTATTTGTGAGGTCTTACGTAGTTTTTTTGCTTGAATTTTTGGTAAATGTTGGCAGGTAGTTTAGCCGTTTTTCAAGGGGAAACTCTGCCGAAATTTTTTTAAATTCTTATTTAATACGTGCGAGCAAGATTCTACGATTTCATCCAGACCGTTCATCTTGCTTTTGGTATAGGTATTATGGCTCGCACAAGAAGGTCTAGAGCACCGACACCTCCATCTTCGTCGACAGAGGAACACACACCTTCCTTGCATGAGGAGTCACCTGAAGAGAAATCTCCGTCACCAGAGCCGCCACCTCGCTCTCGCCGGAAGACCGCGTCTACTAGCCGTGACGAGCCACCTCCGGACTACGATACCACTCGATTCACCTCGCTTGAAAACCAAAAATGGTATGAATTCGGCTTAGACAAGGAGATTATCATCGAGAAGCACTTGGCACCGGAAGTGGATGCACACTACCACATCTCCACAGCATTCAAGCACCTTGGTTGGGAGAACATCTTACAACTTCCCAAGCATTACTACCCAACCTTGGTCCGGGAGTTCTATGCCAACGTGGAAAACAAAGAAAGCCACAGTGGCAATCTCATCGTCTCGTGGGTTCGAGGCAAGAGAGTGGCTCTTACTCGGGATACACTGGGACGCTTCGTCAAACTTAAAGACGAAGGACAAGATATCAAATTGACGAAGGAGTTCAAGGCGCGAGACCCTTGGCAGGTAGGAGAGGCGGTTGGATGCCTCAAGGGCCAGTATAGAGAGAGAGGAACTGCGAAGAAGCTTACAGTTTACGCCGATTCATTCGAGCATAGGTACCACCTAATCTTCTACCTGTTTGGCTTCAATGTGGTACCAAAAAAAAGTGGAAAACGGGAGCTCCGCAATAGTGATCTCTACTTTTTGGACAAGATGATGCATGGTGTGGGTGCGCAGCTGACCGGCATTTCTCTACCCAGCATTATCATCAGTTATATGCGGACTACAGCTCGCATGAGGGCCGGCGAGACCTGCTTCGGGTTTCCAAGACTGCTATCCCTCATTTTTGAGAATGTCAAGGTTCCTCTTGGAACCGAGCGAGCTATCGTCACTAGGTCTGTCGAGGAGGTTAATACCTCTATACTCAAAGCTTTGGGCATTGCTACGGATTTTGGAGCTGCTCTGGTTCGAGACACTGGAGAGGCATCGACTTCAGCCCAGCCTCCTCCGCACACTGAATCACAAGCGAAAACTCGAGAGGCGGAGGCGCAGCAAGCTCTTCCTCCTCCTGTTCCTCGACCACCACCACCTCCTCCGAGATCAAAATGGCAAGAGCTCCAAAATGCCATTTGCTGTATGGAGGGACGAGTCGTCGAGCGTATCGATCAAACGGAGAGACGGATGACGGAGCGACTGGACAGGCATGATCGCCGTCTTCGGGCCATGGAAGAACACTTCAACATCCGCCGGTCGCCTACTCCGACACCTCATCAGGAGGAGGACCATATTGGTACCTCACAGGGTCCTCATGAAGCGGAGGAGGCAATAGACCCTCGTTCCGAGCAGCCATGACGCTCCGTAGCGGCTTGGATCTTTTATTTGTCTATTTTGCTTTTCTTTTGTTAAGACAACCTTTGTAGTTTTTCTTCTTGGATTATCTTGTCCAACTTATTTAGTCCTCATTTTGCTTGGAATGAACCATGATGCAATTAGGATTTTTAGTTTTTAGGAAGTATATTTGGTTAAATAAGAAAAATTACCTCGAACTTGGAAATTTGCATGATTAATGATATTTGTCATTTTCACTTAATTTCGTTAGTAAGTGCTTGATATAGTCACGATACGGCCAAATTGCAACAAAATTATGCTTAAATGACAAAAGAAATTGATGCCTAAATTAAAGAATAATATTATTAATTTTCTGCTCCAATGAATCATGTACTGGGTAACAAGGGGGCTGCCATTTACAAATATCGACATTCGCTTATATTAGGGTTCAAAACGAATTCAAATTAGTGGATTAATGCGTTAATTTACTTAAC